TAGACTACACTTAAGAAAACACAGGGATCCCGAAGGTGTGAAGCGACTTTTGCTCTGCATGTCTGGGGTGGGAAAAGAGCCTAGGCGCCCGGGGTGGACCCGCTGAAAACCCCACCAGCCGCGGCCTACGCGAAAGAGACTTGGTCGACTTGGCGACCCGCTCCCCTCTCCTCCTTGATCCGGGAGGCCTTCCTCGTCTTCCTCCTCCACCCCTTATCCCCCTCCCTCCCGCTTCGACCCCCCCTTCCCCGCCAGGCGCGCTCCTTTCTGGGCTTTGGGACCGCCGCTCTTGTTGCCTGCGCGGCGGAAACAATGGGCGCCTTGCTCGGTGGTGGTTGACCCGGGCCGAGCAGGGCCTCGGGAGAGAGGCCTTTGTGCTCGCAGGAATTAGCGATTGTTGTGTCTGCCCGAGGGACACGCGAAAGACACGCGAACGCCCTCCGCCCCCGCCCCCGGGCGCCCGGCTTCTGCCTCTATTCACCTTCCAGGCTGCGCGGTCCCCCCCCCGTTCCCGCCCGCACCCCCCTTTGTTCTACTGCATTAGCATAAAGCTGCCATGGATCTCCCGTTTAAATAATTACACACAAAAGAATGAGGGGGGGGGCATGGAAGAGTGAAAACAAGAAAAAACAAAAGCCACGGAGCAGGAAAGGAGGACCAAGTACTTTTGCTCGTTGTTTTCAAGCTCTTTCTCTCCCTTCCCCGCTCCGCGTACTCGGTACACGGGCAGACCTGGGTCCCAGTGAAGAAGCGTGTCCGTGGGAAGGGCTTTGTTTTTTTTTTTTAATTTTGCATTTGTAGGCCTTTCTCTGGACGGCCGTTTGATGCTCGTGGACATTCATTTCTAGAACCAACTTGAAAAATAAAACTATCTTATAGAGTTGCGCGCACAAGCGGGGGGGGGGGGAAGGAGGTGTCTGAAGAGAAAATGTATCACCCCAGCGGCAGTGGAAGGTCAGGACTCGCCTTAACAGGACTGAGCCACACATTCCGACGCGACTTTCTGCACGGTCCGCCTTTTCCTCAAGGCCTCCGCTCTTGACTGCCCCATCCTTTTGACAAACGCAGGCTCGGGGGCGCCCATGGCCCAAGGAAAAGCCGACTCCCTAACTTAGTCAGTTAATCCCCGCACCCACGCACCCCCTTTGCCAGACCTTGGAGACGGACACGCCAGCCAACCTGAAGGGCGGCCCGGGCAGGCGTGGGCTGAGCAGGGCAGGGCCCCGCTGGAGGTGAGGCGTCACCTGCCGCCCCCGCCATCCCGCCCCGCCGCCTCCAGGCGCCCCTCTCCTCCGCGGGGGCCTTTGTCCTCGGCGCCCGGGCCGCGTGTGCGTGCGGCGTGTGGGGCGTCGTCGAGGGCGCGCGTGTTTCATTTGTCCAGCCCGAGTGTATTTGCTCAGCGATGTGTGCCTTCCCGGCCTGCCCTGCCGCTTAATGAGGGAGGCCGTCGCTTCGCCCCTATTAGCATACAGCTGCTTAGGCCGCCTCCGCCTCCCTCAACCGGCAAGGCACACTTTATCCCAACCTTATCATCTCTTCTCTCAACTAGAACAATCAACAGCTTCGCACTCATGAGCGGGCCCACTGGCGACTCTGCCCTACTCCTCTCCCCCCCCCTCTTTTCTGGCACACGCGGACGTCTGAATATTGATACACATGACTTACATCCTCGCCTGTGCCTTCCTTATTAGCTGCACAGAGCAGGAGAAGAAGAGGAGGAGGAGGAGGAGGACGGTTAGTGAAGGGTCCAGACACCCCCGGCTATGGATTGAATCGTCTTGTTTAAAAAAAAAACAACTTCCCTTGCCAGGGCCTGGTCTCAGGAGCAGACATTATCATCACCCTGGATCAGGGGAAGGTAGAACATTTTCTCTTCTGTTTTGCTGAGGTAACTGTCTCCTGGAAAACAGGTCGGGACCGTCGGAATTTGCTAGAGATTATACCTGGATTTTACTCTAGGCTGGCACAGGCTCTGCTGGATTCACCCTTGCTGGTTGTGCTAAGAACAGCAAGAACAGCAAGCTGCTCAGCAGCCAGAGAGGTGGCTCCTGTTCTGGCTCATGTTCACAGCTAGGAACTATCATGCTTAGGTTGCACTCTCCTCCACAAGGACCGTGGCACTGCTTTTAAGCCAAGGTGGTGGAGGAAACTTGGGCTGTCTTTCCTGCCTGAGGCCCTCCTGCCCAGGTCACTGCACACAATACCCAAGGCCAGATAGCTTATTTTGTCACCCACGAACAGGTGTCACTTTGAGAGGAAAAATTAAATAATAAATCCCAATGTGCTGCCCTTCGTTGATATTCCAGATCTACTGTCTGAGTTCACTTTTTGCAAGGAAATGTTATTAGGATTGCGGTGTAGAATAAATAGTCCAACCCAGCCAACCAACACACTCACTGACTCTGAGTCACTCTTGGGCTTGACCAGTCACATACAGCAGTTTCTATAGAGCCTTTGGTTCACAACCTTGCAGCAGCAGAATAACTTAATCTATTACTAAAATGCAGAGATAAATGAGGATTCTTATGTAGCCAATATGGAACCATAGACTCCAGAGAGAAAGGTAGTGGGTGTGGGAACCCAACCCAAGTTTGCAGAGGTTTTTTAAAAAGGTTTTTTAGAATAAGGAAAAAAACACACAATGCAAGAATGTGGAGAGAAACCAAATCAGTCTGATGAAGCCTGAGTGTGCTCAGTGGTCATAGAATGCTGACAGTTGTTTAAACAAATGTAGAAAAATCCCCCACCCCACCCAGAAAGCTGAATGAAACAGTGCATCCTGCTGTGTAGCTTGCTGACTAGAACACTGAACAGAAGCAACTCCACACTGCAAAATTTTGCTACAGGTTCCACTGGTATATTCTAATAGCAAATTCAACTCTCCAAGCATCCTCTGAGTGCACAGAAAACCAGGCAGTAGAGTAGAATGGTGTGAGCTAGAAATCTGAACCATTTCTTGTAAGACGTTTTGCCTATACCTCCTACTGGTGGCCAGTTGTTCCAGCCAGTTGTTCATCAGAGTACTCTACACTTTCTGCACTTTGATTAGCAGACTCCACAAAAGCTGAAAAGGGAAGAAGAGAGATTAAAACAGGCTGGATCTGAGTCAATGTCAAATGAACTTAAGCTTTCATTTCATGTGGGGATGAGGTGGGTTAAGATTCCATGGACAAAACATGTTTGGAGGGAAAGGTGAACAAGAGAGATTTCATGACATAGATGCAAATTACTTACAGGTCACCCTAAGTAAGAATTGATTTGATGGCATGCATGCACACACACCCCAGATACTGCTGACTTACAGTTTCCATCATTCCTATTACCCATGTGGGTTGGGGCTCACGGGATTTAGAGTCCAACATCTGGAGGGACACGATGGTGTTATGTCAACATATTTTGCAAGACTGCTCTGAATTATAATGGAGATAGCTGTTTATCATGCATACTGACCAACAGCATATAAACATACAGGGAAAATAAGCCACAGAAGTGGGTACAGGGACAGAAAAAGGTTTTCCATCAGTATGGACATTTTCTACACATTTGATTTGTGACCCTGTATGCAATCCAATTTGTCTGAAGAATTTAAACTTGAGAAAAATATAGAAATCCTTGATGGAACTGTTTCCACGTAGATGTATTTAGATGTATTTAATGTATTTAGAACTGACCTTAATCCAACTGCATCAGATTAAACCTAGATATCTGTGTTAAGTGAACTATAGCTTGAACTGTATGTGTTCTAGAGACAGTGGCCACCATTGAGCAAGAATTAGGTGCAAATAAGCCCAATGATTTATGTGGTTTAAGCACACCCAATAATGTGATGGACTGTGATCACTGCCATTTATCTATTCCAGTCTGAAATGCTGGCAATATTTATAGCTTGGTTTGCTATTAACCCAGAACTTCACAGCACCTTTGCAGAAGACACAGAACACATTGAAACCATGTACCCTCCAGCTAATCCTGGAGTCAGACTGTAGTTATGTTAGAACACACACATTTAAATAAAAATGTGGGCACATAACCTCTTGTCTTTTTTAAAAAATAAAATAAAGATCTGTATTCAAAAAAGCTTTCTGTTTTACTCAAAGCCTTGCTGATCATAGCAATATAAAAAGGTTGGGCTTTTATATACTGTATCTTTCTTTTTAATTTTCACTTAGTCTTCTTGCATAATAAATGCACATGTAGGAGAACCAGTACAGTTTACTGAAAGCAATTCAAAAAGCATTAAGGCTACAACCTTATACCTGTGCCCCACAACCCTGCATCTTGGAGCAAGCCCTGTTAGAGTCAGCAAAATTTATTTCTAAGTAGACATGTACAGACTAGTCTTCCTTGGCAGAACAGAAGGGTAAAGAAAATGGGAGTGGGAGATGGGGAAATGCTTTTACTGCTACTCTTGGGCTTGTGGCTCCTACCCCATTTCCACCTCTGCCATCTTCTTTTAATGTAACCAATGTAATGTAGGAATCTTTACGATGTAAAACAGTTATTGAAAAGCTTTTAGTTTATGGTGGCACTTTTGTGCTCTTGGTAAATCTTGTGTCATTACTGTGTACATAACCATACCTCACTTGGAATGAATGGAAATTGCCACAATTTCATTCACCCACTTACTTTATTTGCTTTACTTTCCCGCCCTGAGTGATTTTATTTTCTTATTGGTTGAGCCCGTAGCAAACAGACCAAGCTGCAGTTGGTCAATGAGTTGCTGAGATGCCTCTGGAAAGGGAGTTAACCCCGCAGCTGCTGGGTCACTAGCCAGCACATTAGAGAATTGACCTCCCTCCCACTACAATGTACCTTCTGTCCAGGAAGACAGAAAGATACAAAGTTCGCATTTGGAATGAACAATTAAAAAGCTAAAATGCAATATGCAAATCTCACCAGCCATCTGTCAGGTTCTGCTTGGGAGGGAGTCTGCAGCACAGAGGAGCCCAGGCAGCCACAGTGTTTAAAGACAGCAGAAGTAAGAAGCTGAAGCAGGGCAATGAAATGGAATTGCTTTAATAGTAACTTAGTCACCAGAATTGAAATAAAAGTCTCAGATCAGAACTTTGAAGGTGTCAGATCAAATAACTAAAGTTTACACCACCATTTTACAAGTGCATCTTTAGCAGTCACTTTTTAGAACACTTAGTGCTCAGTAAGAATTGTTCTCTGCATTTGTGTAGCTGCATGGCTTTCAAATCTGTCTTGCTGAATTACAAAGTCAGTATTATGCTCCACCTGCTGGGGTATTTAAATAAGACAGATTTCGTCATTCATTGGACTGCCATTTTTAAAAAAGGAACTAAATGACATACCACCAGCAATTAATAATTTAGACTCTGGTCTAGTTTTCAAGGAGGAAAAAAGATTCATATTTATTTAGTGAGCTCTACCTAAACTATTCCTGGCCAGGCAAACATTGGCAGGTGATAATTGTTATAGCTCAGATAATTGAGAATGCTTTTCTCCAGCAGGTCTTTGTAGACAGTTTGCTTGAAGGCCCTTTTGAGGTAGCTTTTTGGTCTCTCGTGTAAAGTAAGTTCTCCCTCCACTACCTGGCGAACAATTTCTTGCATTGGAGGAACATCTTCTTCCTGTCAGCAACAAACAACCGAAAAGAGAGAGAGAGAGAAGTGAGAAAAGGAAAGCACCCCATCATCTGCGACTTCAATAAAAATAAGTTGGCAATATTAAATGGGAACATGCTAGCATGCTGAGACAAACACAACTACTTCTCTGGAAATTTCAATAAAATTAATGCACAAAGGATTTTAGAGTAACCCTCATATAAATATATCTAGCCCATGCTGTAGGTAAAATGCTGCAGCAGAAAGAGGATTCCGGTCTAAGGCAAAAGTCAAACTGGGATTTATTGCTTTGTGTCTTTAGCCAGAGGCTATCTGTTAAGCCTCCCTTTCACCTTCTCTGATCCCCAAGGCCCTGACAGCTAACACAGCAAGGCAGCTGCTCACCACATTCCCTGGAAGGCAGGGAGGCTGATCCTCCAAATGCTGTACTAATACCTGCTCTCCTAATGTCAATGGGGTTTGCATTGGCAGAGCACATTTACTAGCAAAGTTTAAGGAAGTCCAGTACAAAGAGAAGCAGAAAAGGTATTGCACAGAGCCTTTAACAATAGTGGAAAGGGGAAACTTTTTCGGAAGAGTCATTTCTCAAACAAAACTTAGGCCAGATTACGAAGTAAATGTCTTTCCCTTTGTTTCCTCCTGCCATTTTCTTTGTTCTCTTCTCCAGTAAATTTTAATTGCTTGACCTATTTTTATATTAGTTTGTAAAATATCTTTAAATCAGTAGTGCTAAAGCCAACATTATTTTCCTTTTTCAGTGTTAACAACACCACAGCAACTCAGCTCTGTTTGGAGTTCTTTCTTCTGCAGGATCATATCTCAGGTTTCTTTTTTTTTAAATGTGTTTTCAGCCATGTATTTTACAAATGTTGTAAGACATCCAGGCAAGTGATTAACTATGGGGAGGGAAGGGTTTGATCCAAAGGGGCCCCTGTCACTGCTCAGTCACCTTATGTTGGGCAGCTGGCTGGTTCTGCCGTGTTTGCCACTAAAATCTTAAATCTGCTAGACTAAACTAGGACACAGTATTCTGTCTGGAGATGCCCGCTAAGCCCTCAGGTTCATGCTAGACTAGTGCACAGACTATGCACAGCAGAATGGGGTTGTTTCTCTGAAATTACTCACAGAGCAGAATATGACCCCAAGCAGCATCTTCGTATCAGGTCCTTTAGACCTGATTCAAAGAGATGTGGTACTTTTGCAAGAGGTTATCATATGAAACCATATGCTTTTACCACAGATGCTGATCAATTAACATGGGGATGGCAGGCTGGGAACAACAGGAGTGCTAAATGTCACATGAGATTTTACACTGATATCATGTTTTTACAAAACGGTACTCCAGTATAATGCTTATTCTCTTTAACTCAGAGGCTACAAGACTATTGCTGCCTAATTATTTTGATGCTATCTTAAAACAAGGATGGATAGTTATTTATGTGAGTATATAACTATGACAACCATACCGCATAGTTTTACAATGTTATGGCCATTGTAAAACTATGGGGATTTTACTCTGGAGTAGGTGAAATAGTGTTAAACTGCAGTAATAAATTGCAACTAATAAACAAGGTCCTGGGATTGCATGCTAGGTCACATGCGTAGTGGCATGATTAGTACACAACCAGGCATGCCACTGACACCTTATTACTTAGCTGCAATTTGCTTCACAATTTACGTGATTTCACTCAACTTGGAGGAAACTCCCAATAGGATTTTGGTTTATAAGACTGGAAATGAACAAAATAAGCTTACTGCATTTATAAACTGCAAGTAAACTTAAGGATTTAAATAGAGAGTAACATTAGTTGGAGATTCAGACATATTTAATAGAAGATAACGTGCTGAGCTATCACTAGCACTGAGCACAAAGGTTATGCAGGATTTAAAGAAAGGAATTAAAATAGGTAGTTTGGTCTTTTGGTAGCTAAAATACTGCAGCCTCTGATTTTGTGCCGCATGCCTCACAAGAAACTTTAGGAAATCAAAATTAAGAATAAGCTAGACGAAAGAATTAGGTAAGTGTGGAGGTAACTGAAAAGCCAGTTACAGAAGGCCTGATCTACATGCAGTGACTTCTCATGCATTATATATGCAAGAACTTTAGTCTGCCTTCACAAATTCTGTTAAGTGCAAAGGCTACTTGATTCCATTCATTAATGAGGCAGGGTAGCATTCATATTGCAGGTGTGAATAGTGGGGACATACCCATCCCACAAGTATCTTGCCATACTTCTCATACAGAAGCTTTTCTTTCTCCATCCATTAAGCCATCCATCTCCTCCATTAAGGCTCTTCTGAAAATTCAGTTTCTCGTTAACTTTTCTTTTCCCTATGGCCTTGGCACTTCTGCTTTGCTTGTTAACTCTCACTACTCCTTCATTAAGCCCTTGAGTGTCTCTTTCGTAGCCTGTACGGCTGGTGTGAAATAATTCCTTGATGATTTCAAGGAAGGACTTGCACATGTGAATTAGACTGAATAATCCAAATGTCCCAAAGAGATCTATCTCCCATCACCTTAGATAAACATTTTTCAATGAAAACAGCTTATATACATTTAATTAAATGTATAGTTCTAGTTGCTCCAAAGGAAGGGGCTGAAAATGATGATGAAAAGAACAACCAGAACCATCTAGAAGAAGGAGCAAATTCTCTGCAAGGAAAGATTACATCTGGGGCTCTTTAATTATGGCTGGCAGGGGAGGGCAATTAAGGGAAGGTTTATAAAATGTTGCATGATGTTGAGAAAGTAGAGAGAGAGAAGCAGTCGGTTCATCAAAGGAAGTTGAATGCCAGTAGATTCAGGGCAAATTAACAAACAAAAATGTAAAAAAAATTACGGAGATGACCACTAGCTTAGCACCAAGAGATAAATGAGTATAATTCTGTCTCTGTACCTAAAAAACAGCAATTATGTGGTAGGTAGGGGGCTGTAGCTTAGCAGGTGGATTAACTTAATGTAACAGCTAAGTCGGTGGCTTTGATGTCAGTGTGGCAGTGAATCTGCCTTCGGTTTTAGTCCAAGGCCGGAGGAGCTATCTAAGGTGCCAAACTCTCTACTGAAAATAGGACAGATGCCTTCTAACCAAAACCTGGAGCAGATTTACCAGCATTCCACTGACTCCAGAAGCCCCCCTTAGCTCTAAGGAACCTCTGGAAGGCATGTAGCCACACTGGCTGAAGCATTCTGGAAATTGTAGTCCAAAAAGGTGACATTTTCAAACTCCCATGCTTCTTACTGCTGCTTCTGTCACTTTCTTTACACCCTCCCTCCATACTCCACAAATCATTTAAGGGGAGGAAATACTGCAAAGCCACACAAAGAGGGCTGGAAATATGAATCTCACTGACCTTTGGTCTCATAAAGAACCAGAATGTAGAAAAACATCTTTTCTTCTGATTTCTCTTTTATTTACTTTAGATATTTTTCCTGAGAAACCTCATGGGAAATGAGTCCTAGTTTCATGTCTTGTTACAAGCTTCCTGGAAGTATTATAGTGGCCAGGCCTTTAGTTTAATCCAGAAGGATTCCTTTTATATTCTTAGATAGTTACTTGAGTAAATGTAGGCAGAAATTTGAAGCATGTGTGGGAAACAAGTATCCCTCCAGATAGACTGCAACTTTAATCAGTCCTATCCAGAACAACCTCTACTTAGAGATGATGAGAGCTGCAGTCCTGTCACATCTGCAGGGCTACTCATGCCTCATAACTGTATTGTATATTAGTGATGGGTAGCACTTGGAAACATCAGCATTAACACGAAAGGCATAACTTCAGGAGGTGAATTGCTCTTTGTTATGGAACCACTGTATCTATCAGACTCTGAGTTTTGTGACTCCGTGTGCAACCTATAATGCACATGGTGATTTCTTAACTTGGGACAATTTACTTCCAAACCTCACATAAAACATTTTGGCCATTAATTTTTGGACTATAGCTCCCAGAAGCTCCAGCCATGGGATTCTGCTAGTTGTAGCTCAGAAAGGTTGTATTTCCAAGTTCTATGTACAAAAATTAAAGCATGAGTACTGGAGGCAACAGCAGTCCAAAAAGCCGGTGTAAAATAAATATAATATCCTTCTCAGTGTTTACCATTAATGCTCTGGACCCTTAGAGCTGGACAAAGTACAAACAGGAAAGAAGAAAAACTGGAAGATTAAAGCAAAAATCTACAATGACCAGTAACATTTGGCAGCCCCTTTTTTACCTGGGCAGACACTAGGATCTGGCGCAGTTCCTTCTGTAGATCGATAAAGCGATCATGATAGATGGCCAAGGCCCAAGGTTCCTTCAAGTAGCTGGTTAAAAAAGAGGAAACTTCGTTACCTAGTGAGCTTCTCATTAGCCACTAATAAAGTGTTTACCTGCTTTTTTGCTTTTATAAATTACAGTTCTGGACCCATCAGGATAGTTTGTTCATAAAATGCCTCCCATAACAACATGGTCAATCAATTCTTTTAATGGATGTTCCTGATGTACAGCCAGCTTCAGTAATTACATTTAAAGTGGCTTAATTCAGAGCTGTGGCAAGAGCCAGTGAAGAATCCTGATTTTATCAGAATTTAAAAGCCTGAAGACCTGTGAGGAACTGTGTCTCCATTATCTGTCCTCATTTGAGAAAAGCAGATGGCAGGATTAACTGAACTCCTGCATAAACAAATTACATTTGTGTAGACAATGACACAAGTGTTGTTCATCATTAAGGTTTCTGGATTAATAAAGGCCAGAAAAACAGGCCACAACAGTGTTGCAATATGTTCCTTGCACTAGTGCATTGAAGCTAAATTGAATTTGTCTTACAAGGAAATCCTCAGCGTTTATATTCTCTTACAATAAAGAACAGGATGTATGGAAACCTATGTTCTGTGTAAATAAATATTTATGCAAGTCACCCAGGCCTTTGAGGGCAGACCAGGAGAAAAAAAAATTAAATCCATTCTAAAAACAACATGTAATCAGATGTACTAAACATACATTCAGCAACTACTTAATATACAACTAGTTACTGTAAGGTAAAGGACAGCTGAGTTACTGATGAAGGTACTGCTACTAGTTTTCACAGCCCTTTTTATTTATGACTGGACAATGTTTCCCAGATAATCTTATGACAAATGAGTTGTCTGGATCATACACCAGAACTAAAAGCTGTAATTTTAAGACACCACTGAAACTTTGTGACATAAGAAGGGAGAATGCAAAAATTTAGATTTTGTTCAAGGGAAATGATTTAGAGGATTTGTAGACAATAAATGTGGCAAGTATGGTGGTTGGACATAGCGGGGATGGGGGAAGGCAGAGTTAGTCATGTGAATCAGCCTTATTAGATTCTCTTTGTTGTTCAATATTTTGTAATTTATGGGATGTATATGCCCTAGATATAATGGGGGAGGAGCAAGGCTTAGGCTTCCATGCTTATTTCCGCCCTTTTGTGTAAGCCATTCTGCAGACATTTACATAAGACTAACTTTAATTGCAGACTGATACTAGTTTGTACTCTGAGGACTAGGACCCACACAATACTATTTTTGCTAATTGTGCCACAGTTTCAGTTTGATGGACAATAGAAACTTCATACTCAGAAACACGGGATGGACAAAAATCACATCCTTTTCTGGTTATTTTACTGAGCTCAAATTAGATTCTCAGAAAGTCAGTGTACATTTTTTTGCTGAATATGGTTATAGCTCCTTTGCAGCCCTTCTATTTGTACATGGCATTGGGAGTAGAAAGGGCTAAACTGAAGCATGACATGTCCAGCTCCCCTTATGTGCCTGCAAATAATAAAGACATAACATCAGTATCCTGTCAGGATGGAACGTAAGGTCTCTGTGCTTACAGCTCTCCATGTTTGCCATGGTGACCTCTAGTATGCAATTATGAGGATTTACACTTGTGTAAGTTGTTAGTGGACTTCCCATTTCATGCGCAGTGAATCATGTGCAGAACGGACCTTCCAGGCATCATTTACAAGAAACAAGATGCTGCACACAAAGTCATGCTATAACTTAAAATTAATGTCATTTCTTACGGTATAGCTCTGCAAAAGCAGCTCCATTTCTCTTTGGTAGCGTTCTGGCTATTGATCTGGTCATATTTCAACTTGACCATCATAGTGTTCTTCTGCTTGGCTTCTCTACTCCTTTATCAGATATCAGCTCTCTATGTCCAACCCTCTTCCAAACCATGGAACTACTTGTTAAAACATGATTTGGTATTTGGGAGCAATTTTGTGAACTCGTCTCTCTTGCCTTTCTTTACACTTCAGAATGTCATGATCCATTTCTCTTCTTTTTGACGAAGATAACCATAGTGTGCTGTGACCTCACCATCTGACAAACTATGGTTATGAACAACCATTGATTGCTTCCTAACCACTGGCAGAATGTAACATTGATTTTCAGTTCTCAGTTGGAAACAAAGTAGGGTTAATGGTGGTTAGTTTGACTAATTCAGAGGCCATAGATTGGAACTCTTAAGGACAGTCTGAATCTGTAAGAGAGCTCCCAATTAACAAATTGTGTTCTAGCAAGCACTCTGTATGTGAAAAAAATGTGTCAAGCATGACCCTCAAACAATATCGTCAGAGCACTACAGAACTTGATAACATCCTTGGTAGTTTGAGTCTATGGTTGGTCATAGCCAACATTTACCCCTGAAAAGGTTAAATACCAGTGTGAATCAAATAATCAAGACAATCATATCAAAGTTAATCTGGGATCGAGCTATATATCATTTACTTGCTCCTGCCTGGTTCACCAGGAACTTAAAGCAGTAATTAATAAATCTGATAATTTTGGTTGGCTTGCCAAATATGCAGCTTTCAATCATGATCCATCTCTCTTCAAAGGATGAGAATAATGCTACTTCAAAAACAATACAGTGATGAACGAAGCTGTAGGTATATATGCTTAAAATACAGTGGTGCCTTGCTTAACGAGCGCACCGTACAACGATGAAATCGCATAGCGATCCCTTGTTTGGGATCGCTAATGCAATCGCTCAACGTTGTTTAGATAGGGCGAAACTCGCTGTGCAAAGATCGGCAAGCGTTTCGCTTACCGATCTTCGCAAAACGAAGCCCCAACGATCAGCCGTTAGGCAGACAAAATGGCCACTGGAAGCCCCGAAATGGCCGCGCGCAGCGTTTTCGCGCCCTCCCCTTGCTTAACGAGGGCGCGAAAATGGCTGCCGGCCATAGGAAGCATTGCTGAACTGTGAGTTTTCGGCCCATTTGGAACGCATTAAACGATGTTTAATGCATTCCAATGGGTTTTTTTTGATCCGTTCAGCGATGTTTCGCTATAGCGAAGGTTAATCCGGAACGGATTAACCTCGCTATGCGAGGCATCACTGTATATGAAGACTGAACTTAAGTTGTAGGCAAATACCTAAGTCAGACAAATATATTTTAATTGTATGTTTTTAGCTAAAGAAGTTACAAACAAGAACTTAAATCTCATCTCAATCCAAAAATACAAAAGCTTATAGCTTTAAAAAGTATATCTCTTTAAAAAGCTTAGTATAAGTGTAAGTATGTTGGGTTGGTTTTTTTAGCCTTTTAGCATATTTGGACACACACATGGAAAAATACTAAATTGTCTATATGCTCATCCAGCCATCTGCCAGTTACAATCTATGGAGGAAAAACCATGATTTCTATGTGTTACCTCTGCAGTTGTCATTATCTTTTTCCTCTCCCTAGCTTCTTGGTTCTATTGTGGATCAGCTGACTTACTTGACTGCTGGTTGGTACCGTATAATGGTTACATTTTACCAGCCCTTTCATAGCATGGTTGTTTATATTTCCTTATCTATTGTTTATATTTCCTTGCCAAACTTGAAGATTGCACTAGTAGAAGGCTAATACAAATCTCATAGACTTCACTTTTGTAGCCAGTAACAGGCTAATTATTTTGTTCTAAGCTAGCAAACTCAATGCAGAATCTCACTATGTCCACTTCTGTAGAGACTCTCATTTGTTTAACATTGCTCTTCACACGAGAAGCAAACCTCATACAGAATTAATGGGTCTCCTCTGCTATTCACGCAGATAACATGGGGTTAGATAGGATTTTGTTTTTAACTCTGCAATAACCTCTAATTTAGCATATTGCTGTTTAAACTGTTATTTCTCTCTCTCTTTTTCTATTCTCAAGGTTGCATCTCTGTCCTAAAGTAACCTCTGCCAGCAGTTCATTACTGTTCAAAGTTCAAACCTTCATAATATAATTACATTTCACATTTCCAGGGTTACAATTCTTATACACTTGCTCAAGTAATGCTGTATACAAATTTTCAAACTGGGACAGTTTGCTCTGCCAACAGGTGAGTGTGGGGAAGTCTTGTTTGCAGATTGCCTCTGTTGTTCCATAGTCCAATTTGGCCATATTGAATTTGGCTATAAATAAAGGGTGTTCAAAGGCCATTAATTCTGACTAGTTTTTTTATGAAGTGCTAATTTCACATACATTCAATTGCTTCCTTTACAAATCAGTTCACGTGTGATCATGTTGTATATTTTAAACATGCGTTGGGGCTCCCATTCTCCCTAGTTCTATTCATTTAGTTTGAACCAGCATGCATCAGTAAGCCTTCAAGAACTGAATGCTCTTCAGACCTTCAAGAATGCTGCCATGCCAGGGAAGAAGCAAGGGAGAAGCGATTTTTGTTGTAAATCAGAGTGATCTGTTGTTCTCTGGCTCCTTTTCTGGTATGGGGAGTAGAATAAGAAGACTGCTAAGGCCCGTCTCGAGGATTTGAGAGACTGAGTTTAGCCCACTGAAATAGGGATATTGTGTACTTCTAACCCAAAATAGGTGAAAGAGAGGGCCTGATTGATGTCAGCCCAAAGAATATTCCATAGCCATGGTACTACCATACAAAATCACCAGTGTCTTGTGCTTGTCTCATTAACATTTTGGAACATCACCTAGAGCAGGGACTCAGAGGCTGATCTTGACACCTAACAAGTACAAGCAAACCTCCACAGGAATAGGTGGTCTTTGTGGTAAGGGGGTTTCTGTCACAGAACATAGCTGGTTTTCACATCAAGACTTGAGTAGGATGGTGGAGTCATTTGTTAGTTTGCTAGAGGAAGCAAAATGGCTACTCTAAATTTATGCATAATGCTCCAGAAAGTGGAAGTGTTTCCCCATTCAGATAGACAGGGTGTATCTTTGTCATCTGCCACTTCTACATGCATTAATGCTTCAGTTTACTGAAATGTGCATGCTTTATTCTGCATACTCAAGATGCCAAAGGGATTTGGGAAGCTCCTGTCTGAATAAGAATCCCATAG